TCCGCTTTCAAGTGAAATCCGTAGTCACTAACCTGCTTGAGGACTGCTTCCAGTTTTACCGCCAGCTCTCGGTTGGTCGATCCTTTGATAATAATGTCGTCCAGGTAAGCGGCAACCCCCCGATAACCCGGCTAACATCTCATCCCTAATTTGCTGAAAGATCACGGGAGCTGATTTGACACCAAATAGAAAACGGTTGAACTGGTAAAGACCTCGGTGCGTTTTGATGGTCCGTAACTCCTTTGAATCTTCGTCAACTTCAATTTGAAGATAAGCCTCTGATAACTCTAGCTTTGCAAAGTAAGCAGTACCACTGAACTTGACAAATAAATCTTCTGGGACTGGCGATGTGTACTAATGCATTTTTAAAGCAGAATTGTATCTCGTAGAGTATTCAATACCGAAACGAACACTCTCATTCGTCTTCTTCACCATAACAATAGGTGATGTCCATGCTAAGTAGTTTACAGGTTGGATGACGCCGGCTTGCTCCAGACGATGGAGTTCGACATCCACAACTAGAAGCGCAGTGTATGGTACCGGTCTTTTGGGTGAGAAGACAGGCTTAGCACCGACCTTAAAGCTAAGGCTCGCTTTGGTTTCCGTGCATCGTCCCAAGTCATTCCGAAATACTGAGGAGAATTTCTTTCCTAGCTGCTCGATCAGCTTGTTGGTTGATTCATCTACGTCCGAAGGAGACGTCATATGTCCGAGCTGGAGGTTGCTGCAGACTTGACCCAGGGGAATGCCGAACAACTGGAGCATGTAAATGCAATCAAAACCAAACAGATTCAAATGCGACAACTCCGTGATATGCACTATGCCGTTTGCGCGGGCACAGCCAAAAACCGTTTCACAGTGTAGCTCACCAATGAACTCAAGCTGACCACCAGAAGCATTGAATGCAACATGTTCCGTTGGGCTAATGGAGGGAGCCCAGATATGCTGCCAGATTTTGTGCGAGATAGTTGTGACATTCGTGGCCGTGTCGAACTGAAGGCGTACTTGATTCCCATTTATGTGGACTCTGATGCACTTCCTCCGAGCCACATGTTCACCGGAGTAAGTCGCTTGAACCGTGCTATGGTTACGGAATCCTTTGTGAACATTCGAATTCGGTCGCGCGTGTCTAGCACGTTTGAATAGCAATCCGGATCGACAGTGTGTTTCCCTGTGGCCCCGTCTACGACACTTTTGGCAAACGTGTTTCGGAAATGGACATACCCGAATGAAATGCCATTCGCCACATTTCCAACAGGCAGTCGGAGGCTTGAGATTCTCTCTGGGCTTTTCACGGTCGGTCTCACTTGGAGGTGGTTTCCTTGAAGTGGTCTTCAGTACACTAAGACTGCGAAGTGGCTGTTGATTCTCCAACATAAGCGTGTCATGCTTGAAGTTCAGTAATCCTTTGATATTCGGTAGTGATAACCTGCGAAGCCAGGTGCGGGTGTTGTTCAAGTTTGCTCAGCAGCCTGGTGCGAATCTCTGCATCCCGTGGGGAATGCAGGTCATAGATAAAAACCAAACATTTGTACTAATCAGTCGTATTAGATTTGAAGTCAAATTTTTCGCACTCACGATTGACGATGCCAACGTAGGTAACGCAATCGCCAGCGTTCATCCTGGCGAATTTAGACATGGATCTCGCTTGTTGAAAATGCATGACTGCTCACCGAATATTTGGCACATAATCTTGGTCGCCTCATCAAAAATACAATCTCAAGCTTTCTCTGGTACGATAATATTGATATACCTGGAATGCTCTGCTGTTCCAAGTTTCCGTAGCAGCAGTCGGACTTTCCTTCTGTCGTCATGGTCCCCAAGTTCAACGTGGAACACAGATTCAAAAGGTTTGAACCAGGATTCAAAGGTGATGCCAGCAGCAGAGCCGCATGAAAATTCGGCACTCCTGTTGTTGATGCCGTCTACCGATGCGGACAGCTTGACGGTTGTGGACTGTGAACCGGTATGGATTGACAGTTGACGATGAAGAGTTTCTATCACCCGGAGTTGGGACGCTTTAAATTGTGCTCGCTGCTGTTGCAAAATAAGTTTGAGATGAGCCGGGCTATATCATAGTCAACTGTCAATCACGCAGGTCTTAGGCTGTCACCCATGGCGAAGTGGCACTAGCTGCTGGAATCCTGAAGTCATGAGGGCGGAATCCGGCAGGGTTCCGCTGTGAGGCGCACCACTGACGAGACCCAGAAGGTCGAAACGCCGGCGTCTGGTGCTTTTCCAGACTAGCCTAAGCCTGCTGATTGGGAGTGGCGAGGATGAATTAGCTGAATTTTGAGATCATCAACCGATACGGACATTGCTATTAGGGTTTAATCCTTGGCCAGCTGAAGTGGTCGACCCTCGTCGGAATTGACGATTGGCTATTGTTCGGAACTCGAGACAAGGAGGCCCGCTGTCACCTTTCCTTTTTAACCTTGCCATCAACTAAGTCACGAAAACTGCGTTTACTGGGCACGACGTACAAGGTGTGGAGTTGTTCCTAACTAATGGATTTCTGGACTTGGAGTACGCCGATTACATTGCTTTTACCTGCGACAGCCTCCCAAAGTACCAATCAGCAGCTGTCAGTCGTTTCGGGCTATGCTTTGCACCTACAAAATGAAATTGCTTCTCCAAATTTGGCAAGAAACCACCACTATGTTGACCGATGGTAATGATATCAGTAAATGAATGCATGTTAGTTGAGGATGAGAAACACACCTCAGGTTATGTGCCGCAATACAAAATAGTAAGATACAGAAAAGTTACACTAAAAATTTCAAAAGCAGGTAATATAATGTCATATATTATAGTTTGCAATCCGTATGAGATCAGTTATGAAATCTGGCCCATCAAGTTGACTGACATAAAGAGGCTAGTCACGTTCGACCACCGCAGCCTAGCTCACATCTGGCGGGAACACCGCGTGACCAATGAGCGTGTTCGGCGTCGCGTACTTGGTGCAGGAAGAGCTAGCGAACCGCTCAGCACCATTAGATCACGCACCCGGCTACGATGGCTGGGCCACGTGTCGCACATGTCAGCACGTCGACCGCGTTCCTTCTTAGCACGACCGGTGTGTGAATATGAGAAAAAAAACGATGAGTTGGGCAAAAGAAATGAAGTACCTCACTTCGAAGTTGGGTGCTTCCCGACTGCCGGGCTGTGGTTCTAAGGATGATGAACACATTTGGTTTGGTAGACGTGTTGACATGGGGAAGAGCCGAACGCAATGGCAATTGTTTTTCCGTTGTCCCCCCATTCTGCCTATCTTCTCTCTCTATGACCTCACACAGAAGCAGATTATTATACTAAGCATTGTATTAGTACTTAGTAATAGTGCATTTTATAATGTTTATCTAACGTTTACATATATGTGGCATAAAAGCGCTGCCCAAAATGACTCAGAAAGCGCCTATTGGCCACAGCAGAAGCAACTGCGACCAAGCAACTCAAGCTGGAACTGTGTAAACAGCGTGTACTAGTGCAAAGTGTAACCCTACCGTGGCCGTTGTCTGGTCAGCTGACTCCAGGCATAGTGGTCAATGACAATGGGGTTTAAATTGACCACCACCGTTCCTCCGGTCACCGCATCGCTTATATTTCAGTGATTATGAAACTAATAATTGTAACTGACTGATGAGGTTTATCGAATATAAATTTCCTCGCAGTTTTCCTTCTGACATCTTAATGGTCATAATATATGAATGTATACTTTACTTTCTTTATTTCAGCACAGTAGCCGAGGTGTTTCCCCATCCTTAGCTAAAGTGTGATGATGCTGACAAGAAAGACAATCATGGTAATCCATCTGTATGTATTACACTTGAGCACTAGCAAAGCTTAAAGATACGGCCAACGCATCAGGGATTGGAAGGTAAGCTAATCCGACTTTTAGTAATGTGCAGCAAGAAAGAACCACCGGAGCTTCACAACATTGAGAAAGTAAAAAACAACTTGGTGGCGATGTTTCCATCGATTGTGATAACGTCCGGTGGCCGAATGGATAAGACTTCTGCCTTGTAATCAACAGATCACTGGATGTGATCTACCTAGGTGCGGGTGACCTCGCAGTATCAATAGCTCGGGTGCGATTGGTGGTGGTCTTGTAGCAGTGAATCGTTGGTATATTGTGTCGGTGTACTGCTGATGCTCTTGCCTGCCCAACCGTCGAGATGATAGAGAGGAAAATATCAGCTGTATACCTGAGACGATCGCAGTAATTTCGAGGCGACAGTAGCAGTCCACGAAAGTGTAGAGAGCGAAATCTAAGGTAAAAGAGTCCTGATGGCGCAGAAGGACGGACGCAGCAGGTAGATGTGCGCTTGCGGGGAAAACACTGTACTTAAAAAGTGAAGAACTTGTCGGCATCGCCCCAAGTACACGGTAGTGTTCCTAGGGTGGTCGTGCTACTTTCGGTAATAAGTTGGCCTGGTGCATTTGAAAGATGAACTTTAGCTATGGAGAGAGAGCTGTCATTACGAGGAGACTAGACATTGGCATAGCGTGGTGGCTTCCGTGCTTAGTGATTGACTGGGCAGCCATGGGTAACGCGTTCCATGTGCTTACACGGCCACACAAACCAGATGCGTCGTCAATGGTTAGAGAGCTCAAATTCAGCATTTCCTCATCGAAAGATGCAGAGATGTTGATGGCCACTCAAAAAATTTGCCATAGGACGTAGCAATAGATGGGTGAGTTATCAGCTCAGTAACAATTAAATGTTGGCCACAAATGAGTACCAAGAAAGGACAATCCCTGAGGAAACAATAACCTGTTGAAAGGTCCGGGGATTACGAAGAACGATGTATCGGCAGTGAAAAGAGAGAACAAGAAAATTTTCGGTGACAAACACACACAGTCCCGAACTAAACGGTACGGTAGCTGTTCCAACATGCTGCTTCTGTTCAAAATACAAAAACCAACGCGAACACTTCATCAATAGTGAGAATAATGAGATAAACATGAGGACTGGGTAGTGGCGGCGATAGGGTTTCAAGGTGCAATCGTGGTCGCAAGGGGGCTAAACACAGCGCAAATACGACAGTAGTTCAAACTGTCGGAATGATGAGTTTAAACTAGCGGCCGTATAACAGTAGTCCTCCGACAAGACGAAGCGATTGTGTGCGACGGATTGAGTACAAATGGGACAAGTTCGAGGCCGGCGAAGTGGAAAAAATGTGCTGGGCGAGTAGTAGAAGTAACAAAGCTGAACTGAATAACACAGGGAAAATGGAGAGGCTAGTGTCACCACATGGTAGGTCACAAATGCCGGGGTGGCCTCAGAAGTGTCTGCGTTGAAAACCGCCCCCACCCATTTTCGGCCGCATGGATCCGTGATGGTGATGACTCAGTGCCGGCCGACCGGCACTGTTTGGAGGGGAGAGGGGACGACTTCGACGAAACCGACCATCACGGCCGGAGTCAACACGAATTCGAGGTGGCCGCCGAGTGTTTGAAATGTTGCGGGAGTGCGGTGGGCTCCGACGATCCGAACGACCAGAGCATATCGTCTTACGATCCAGTCGGCTAAACTCCGGACCTCTTGAGTCGTAAGCGCGGAAAGACGAGTTCGGTCGAATGGATGACGTAGAATGGCTCGGTGACCGGGAACGATCATAACGAAGCCCCTTCTGTTTGAGCTCAAACGAAGACTGCCGTACAGAGACTCGTGACTGAGGTTGTTTCTCAGAAGAACTAGACCCCGACTGCTTTGTTGAAGTGGACTGCGGTGGAGACATCAACCGAGAGTCCTCACGATATCGCCTAGACGCTCGGGGTGATAAAGAAATCTGGCGACGAGGAAGATCCGAAGCATCACGTCCGAAAGCTGAGAGATGGGTGGAATGGAAAGGATGAAGAGTGACATTACCGCATGTGTAAATTATGCAGCTGATAAAACGCAAAAGATGACAAAGAATATCCGTTGCCAATGAGCAATATCGCAGCGAATGAGCATCTAGCCTCGGATGTGAAGCAGAACAGCACAACGCACGGAAGAAATTAATGCGGATACCACAGGAAAACTTGCCAATGTTCTGCCAAAAGTTATCGGATGTGGACATCGCGCTAGTTTGTGAAAGCAAATACGGAGGGCTAAAGAAAATGAAAGCAAGTTATTGTACACCGTCAAAAGTGAGGCAAGATATGCACGGATGTGCACAACTGTCACAAGACCAGCGTCCAGAAATCCGATGAAGCACAGTCCATGGGAGCTGGTCATTATCGTACGTGCCAGAGAAAGTAGTACGGCCAACCAATGACTGCTTTTTAGTTAGCTAATAATAGTCGTTCGGACTTAGAGTCAGTGGACGAGAGCTGTTCGCCAGCCTCCGGTAGCATGGAAACCCCCCCAAAATAACATTTTTGTTGAAATGTGTAGTCAGAGCTTGTGCGTGAGGTTTATTTTTGGGACTAAACGGATTACCTTATCAAGGTCTTTGTCTTCCGATTTGGGTAGCTGATTAGTCTGGAATGCGAAACAGCCGTACCGATATTCTGTGAGGTCAGTGGAAATGAAACACTCTCGTACAGAGGTTGATTGAAATCGCATAACGCACCCAAAACACACAAATTTAAAGTTCTACTTCGCTGGCTTTGATCCACTTGCAGTGCCAAGTGAAAGCATGCCAGATGGCAAGGTGAACCTTAACGATTCAGCTTCAAGCATACGATTTCCCATGTTCCATATCCATTATTTCATTCCGCTGCTTACTCAGCTACACTTGGCGTACTGGTAAACCAAAATGCCTGAACTGAATGAACAATGCTAACCAAGCCTGCCTCTTACACACTTCGAATCAGCCTCCTTATCTGGTTGTCGCGGCCGTCATAGCGGTACTATTGTTGTCACTTTTGCTACTACTACAACTACTACTACTATTACTACTACTACTACTACACTACTACTGCTACCACTACTACTGCAACTACTACCACTGCTACTACTACTACTGCCACTACTACTACTACTAAAACTATGAAAGGGTATTCATGCATATAAGGAGCAAAGTTGTCCGCATAATAAAGAATACAGCTGGCACACGAGTTATATTATTAATGTTAGTGCTATATTATCAGTGCTACCAGCACAATGGCTACTGTGCGTGGCGAACAAAATCCATCCTCGCATAATCCGTAGATTCGGTAACGGAAGCACTTACTAGTTAATTTGGAATCATGAGCTGTATGCCGTGATCGCGAATTATCCCCACCAGAAGCCACTCGAACAGTACTCCCCTTGGCCGAAGTTTCAGTTGCAGGCGGTGAATCAAAGGTAGACGCGGTGTTCTTATGCGAAGAACTGACGCTCCCGCTCCGCTCAGTTCGCAACGTCTTAGAGCTGACGGGTTGAGGTGAGGGGGACCGCCGGCGCTTACCACAAGGTAACAGCGTCCCGACGGAGCCATTCGCTCTATCCTCGAGCTCATCTTCGTCGTCCACATCATCACCAACCTCACCCTCCTCATCGGTACTGGACGAGTGATCCGGTTCATTGTCTTCCGCGGACCTGGAGCGCCGGTGACTGGTGGCGGATGGGGTGAGGCATGCAGCATCTGCCTCATCACACGAAGACCAACTTCGTTGATCCGGTTCGGCCGAAACC